GATTATGCTCAGACCAACGGCCCTGTGGTTGCTCCTTATTTATATATACTTCTGTATTATATATGCTCCAAGTGTATTTTCAAAATATAATATACCACCCATTCAGAGAACTGTTAAAGAGCATTGCTATTTGACGAGTAAGCAAATGTGGCATTTTCTGTTGCAATTGTAGGAAAGAAACTATTGCATTTTCCTGGAATAAGCGCGCTAAACTCTGTATTTGCTTCTGTCTCGATAGCTGTAGTTCTTGTTTCCATACCCTAAATCTCATTCTTGGCTTTCCTTCCATGGTTCTCTAGCCAATTTATCTACTTTAAATCTCTCCTTTACCCTCATTGCATCATTTCCCACTTATTTATACCTTGCTCTTCTTATTCAAGTGTCTGGAAAAGTTTTCTGCTGCTTTTCAACCACAATCAGCAAAGACAACTTAGCTGGACTCGTGCTGACTTTCACTGTATTCCTGGACTTTACTGGCCATCCCCAACTTATGTGGCTGACAGGTCATTTTCCCATTCCTTACAGCTTTTTATTTTTCTGTTTGAGGTGTCCATTACCTTGTGTCCTTACAAGTTTAGTTGAGATTTAAGGTCCTCATAACTCCTGCCCTTCTATCCTGCAGAGAGGCCAGGCTTTGGACCGTCAGGCCAGCTGACTTCATGGCAACTCCTTTGTATCAGGTCTAAACCCCTAAGTTACAGGCATTCTTGCATTTAAGCTGAACTGATTCAGCCCTTCAGCATGCAGCACAGCATTCAGCCCTGCAATCTGTGCTTCTTCCCCTGTCAGGGCTCTGAGCCTCAGCCCACTCCTTATCACAGGTCTGCCCTCCAAAACTTTATTTCCCCATTCGTCTTTTATGCATGACTGCCTTCAGGTCACAGCCTGAACTCTACCATCATCTTTAAGTGCACATCTAGTCTAAAGTGAATTTTATCCGCCTAAATAGTTTCTGTCGTTGCCTACCCAAAGCCAAGGTACATTGGACAGCTTCTGTTTCTCGTCGTCTCAGTCTTAAGTGTTCAGGTCTCCTTCAGCACTGCCACTGCCGCCTCTTCTCCTGTCTACCTTGAGAAAGGAATGAAATAAATACCCCAAGCTCTCCTGCCAGCCCCACTCCTCATTCCTTTTCTTTCTCTGGTGCCCTGGTCTATGGCTCCTCAGTCTTTTGCCTAAACATCAGTTCTGCAGCCTTGCTTAAGCTCAGCCGCAGCGTCAGCCTCACGTTCCCTTCAGAGTGCACTTTCTTCTCGTTTTAGAAAAATTCAAGAATCCAAGTGCAAAGCTTATTAACCAAAAAACAATCAAGTGTCAGATAAGCAAATTACCTTCTCCTCAGGCCGCCTCCTTGGAAGGTTACTTCTCCCTCCCCAGGGAGGCAACAAGTTCTCTCATTTAGTGATGTCCTGCCAACATGTGCAGCTCTGCACTACGATAGCGACTGTCTACCACCGATGTGCTTCAGGGCTTCAGCCACTTGCCCGCTGCATCCAGGAAGGGACTATTCCCCTCAGTACAAGGTTGGCCAGGTTTTTTCCTGACTTCTTTGCTGCCTTCTGAAGCACCAAGGATCAGCAGTAGGTGGGACACAGTGCAGGACATGCAGTGAGCAGGATCCTCCCTCTTGGATACCTACCTCGATAATTTGCTGATCAAATTTTTTACCCAATTTGGCAATAAATATTATTCCAGTCTTCCACTGTCCTCTCAAGACTGGTGAGGCATTCATTTTTTCATATCTTCTTGGATCTGCACCTTAGTACATCTCAGCTCCACAACTGCTGCGTACCTCTGCTGCTTCTGTTTTCTGAGGTACAGCTCCCATCTCTTTGATTTACAAGGACAGAAATGTCTTCACTTGTCTTAAATTATTGGCACCAATATATGTTGTAGAAATTAAATGGTATATACAGGAAACAAGAGCAGGTGATTTAACTTTTTGGTCCCTCTGCTCAGCACTGGTGAGACACACCTGGAGTACCGTGTCCAGGACTGGGGTCCCCAGCACAAGGCAGACATGGACTGGAGTGAGTTCAGCAAAGGACCATGGAAGTGATTAAAGAACATCTGACCTATGAGGAGAAATGGGGACTGCTCAGTCTGGAGAAAAGGTGTATAAATCTCCTTCTGTATAAGTCCTTCTGTGTAAGTCTCCTTCTCTGGAGATACTCAAAACCTGCCTGGACGATGTCCTGTGCAATCTGCTCTAGGTGAACCTGCATTAGCAGGGGGGATGGACTAGGTGATCTCCAGAAGTCCCTTCCAACCCTTGCCATTCTGTGATTCTGTCAAATACTTGATGGGGGGAGTAAAAAAGATGAAGCCAGGCTCTTCTCAGTGAAGCCTGGTAGCAGGACAAGAGGCAGTGGACACAAACTGAAATACAGGAAATTTTTAAATGTAAGAAAAATCTTTTTTAATGTAAGGGCAACCACTGACACAGGTTGCCCAGAGAGGTTGGGATGTCTCTGTCCTTGCAGATACTCAAAACCTGACTGGACACGGCCCCAAGCAACCTGCTCCAGCTGACCCCCCATGAGCAGTTGGGTTGGAGGAGCCGATCTCAGTGGTGCCTGTCGGCTTCAGTGAATCTCAATTCTGCAACCTACCAGGCTCCTCTGGCCTAAAATGCTGTGAAATTAGTCCACATCACAGCATTCAACTGCTCACGTAAAGCAAAAGAGATTATTAAATAGCCAGATGTCAAGAGAAATGGGCTTGCTCAATTGCACCTTGGTTGTCTGCATTGGCTGCCTCAGGGATGTACTGGTTAAAGTATGAATCCACCACCTCTTGCTCGAGTCTTGCTGCCGTGAATGGGTGCCCAGACCCAAAACTCTAGCGAACAACCATGCAAGGCTCAGTCCAAAAGGGAGAGGGGGCCTTGGTGAACCCCAGAGCAACCAGTGATGGCCATTAGCAGACTCCACAAAGGAGCGGATGCTGTCATGTCTGCCACCATGCCTGCAGACTTCTCACTGGCGGCAAAATCAGTCCTTTAGCACGTTCTTTGCCAAGTTACTTTACCTAAAACAAGCTTTTGACAGGGATGACAGAGCCAAGGCAGCCCTTCCCATTGCGATCGTGTGCCGCGGCAGAATACTGCCCATAGCACACAGCTATCTGTCAGCTTGATGAAACATGGTGTCGCATATAAAACTGAAACTGCCCTCAAGTTATTTAAAAAAAATTAAAAAAAAAATCAAAGCCTCATAAAACATACATTTTGTAACGCTTACCAGGCTTGATACTGCAAAGTCAGCCCAGCAAGACAAAAAAAAAAAAAAAAAAAATATCCCCTACCTCTAGCTCCATCAACTCCTCCTTTTTGTGAACCCCCATAGCGGTGGCTGCTAGTCCTCTGTGTTTTCACATACATATGAACATATACATATGAACACACATGAACTTGGATATATTTTTTCCTGAATCACTGAAGAACCAGAAAGTTCACTTTTTTGTGTGCCAAAAATAGCCATTTTTAGCAGAATCAAACATCCTCCCAAAAGCAGCTAAGACAGTGATCTGCAAACTATTTTCCAAATCGTTGCTTTGGTGCTTTTTTAACATTTGAAATAGCTGATTCTCACATCCCTCTCTTTGTGAAAGAAGTGGGAAGATTCATAGATCTGACTAATCTGAGCAACCGTACCTTGAAAAAAGAAGGGAAACTGATTTCTAAGGACCAAGATTGTAAATTCAGTTTGAACCTAGAAAGCGTCCCTAAATTTTCATTTTTTTACACTCTGAACTCCACTGTTTCACTATAAAACCAAAGCTGAAGTAAGAGAGGCCAGAGATCAGGTCTGCAGTGACAAGCAGCATCTTTCGGTGCCTGTTTTTAGCCCGGCTTTCTGACCTCAGCTTTGTTGTCCAGGTTCTCAGGAGAAAGCCAAATTATACCCAAACTCCTCTAGAGGCTCCAGACGATCCTCCTCTGGCAATAAAGAAGGGTGTCAAGGCAAATGCTGAAAGAATTTAGATCTCTGCCTGACAGTTAGCAATCCTGGCACAAGCTTAAGCAGGGTTAAACCTGCTGCAATTTTGGAGGGAACCCTGGACAAAATTTGAATGTTGCCTTCTTCAGAAAATGTATGCTAAGAGCCAATAGGCTTCATGTTTAATAGCTGTTGAAAAGGAAAATGATAGCACAGAAAATATAATAGATGCATCCAATATACCCTCTCACATGGTGGGAACAAAGTGCTTAAAAAAAATACAGTAAATCCCGATATAGGCACCAATGATATTTTTGGCATTAAAGTAGCATATTTGGTAAGAAGGAAGAAACCTGTACTGGGAGACACACTCCAGTGCATGGCACGTCACCAAGTAAGGCCACGAAATCCAAAACTCAGCCTTCAGTGGCACCAGGGTTTTTCTTCAAAATCATCTACAGCTCCTTCTGCAGCAGGAAAAAGGAAGGACAGCTGGAAGAGGTGGGACACCCTGGACACAAATAACATTTGGAAAATTTTTTTTGTCCTTTTAGGAACATTTGAGTATAGCCTAGGCTGTCCCTCAGAGCCAATCCAGAACCTGCCCCATGGTAGGATGTAGGGGCTCTCTCCAGAAGAGAGCCAGGCCACCTTACCTGGGCACACAGGACACTGCTATTTTGCATGCTCAGGACATTTTTCATTCTTCCAAGATATAAGTTCAAAAATCTCCTTACTGACCAGGCAGACTTTGTGCATTTCCTAATGCATTACTCAGCCTGGGCTATCTGACTTACCGATAAGCTCTTCGGCAATTTCAGCAGGCATTTGCAAACCCACCGCTGATTTGTGGCATGGATCTTTTGGGTCAAGTCTACCGATTGAGAGGTCTATGCCACGCTGCCACTGCCAAGCAGAAAAAGACCTTTCTTGTTAAATTGGTTCAGGCAACTGCCAGGGCCCAACTTACAACGCAACCAGGCAGCAGAGGTTGCGGTGCCCGACAGCACCGCTCTGGGTTGCACAAAGCACCAGCTCAGGCGTCGCTACAGAAGGACTCACCTGAGGTAAGGTACAGTTGTTCAGCTGCCATGTACGCAGGACCGAACTGGCCAGCAAAGTGGGCACTCGGACTTTCACCGCTACTTTTTGCAGAGGCCATGCTTGTTAACCTGATGAACAGCTTCAGCGATCAGATGAATAGTTAGGCTCTGCGCGTCTCTCCTCCGTGCTATATTTCTATACAATCTGAAATAAAAACCTTTAATCTAAAATTGATCCAGCTTCCTGGTCCACCAGTTCCTCGCAGGGTGACGGACTGTGGAAGGGTGCTGAGCACAGTTAGGGAGAAAATGAGAACAAGGCAGAGCTTTGACGGTTCACCTCTGACTGAAAGAGAGAGCATTTGAAATCTGAAATAGTTGAAATTTTTTTTCCTGAAGTAATAAGGGAAGAACATGATACTAACTGGCCTTTTCAAACACCCCAGATGAGTGAGGGAAAGCACACAGAAGGCACATGTTTTCTTCTGCACTCTACTTGTAGGATGCATCCTACTCATTTTAGTGAAACCCCAACTTTCTAACCAGAACTTGGGAGAAATCTTCAGATGTTCAGTAGCCGAAACCCGTTGGGTAATAAATGAGTTTTTTTCTTAGTGAAGAACTGACCTTGAATTGTGACACGAGTCATTCTTCTCTTACACTGACGGTCTTCTCCCGTCCAAAGCAAAAGCGAGCAACAAGGGCACCTGTGCGTGTGCCTGCGTGAGCTTCTGCAACTGAGCCAGCAATAAAGGGAAGAGCCCTGAAGTTCATGCACATTTTTATTGAGTAGTAATATAAAATGCTTCTTTCATTGTTACAAGTGCATGCTTTGATTGCCAACATTTCGAAGTCAAATTACAAAGGCAAGGCTGTAGGCTGTAGTGAATTACTTGGGCACTTATACAATTGTTAAAAAATATCAATGGACTGTTTTGTTTTGTTTCTTTTTCTTTTTTAGAATGAACCAGTTGAAACCCGTAACTGATATACAAAGGGAAAAAAGTGAAAAAATTACACATTTTGTGGCACGTGACAGAACAGAACAAAATGACTAAACCATTATGACATTAACAGTTATCATGCATTTAGAATCTCACATGTAACTACAAACTTATTTAAATTCCACAAGGTTTGCTAAACATGCTACCCATCTATATGTGCACTGACAAGCTTATGTTAAAAACTTTAAGAATACTCTCCCCTTAGATTTTTCAAAGCTTTTTTTTGATTACAAAATTTCAAAGGCATTAAGCATTTTTTTTTTTTAGAGAATATAAAGTACGCCAGTATACATACATTTCCAGTATAAGTCAGACCACTAAGCGCATTACAGTCCCATACAGGCCTATACAGCCATTTTTTTTTCTTAAAAAACATGCATAGGCAGATTTTTACAGAATATAGATGCTTTTCACTGCACTTAATATGGTGTCTTGTTCACTATACTTAAAAATGCACCACTCATAAATATTTAAATTCAGCAAGCCACAACCAAGACTTGATTTACCAAAAAAACCCAGAAAACCCCCCAAACCAAACCCCCCTAAATATAAACAGCAAAAAAAGATAAATGTTATAATTATTCCAGTTTTTTTTTTAAACAAAGAAAAGGATAATTGCTGCCAAATTAGTAAGATAAGTGTTATATTTAAAGAAGGGCATTGAAGCACACTAAAGAAACCTGAGGTAAGCATAATCTGTACAAAATTAAACTGTCGCTCTCTCTCGCTCTCTCACTCTCTCTCTATCTTTTTTTTTTTTGGCATTTTAAACAAATTTCCAACAATCTTTTTTTTTTTTCTTTTTTTCTCTATATTTTTAAAGACTGCCTAATTTATTTCATAGCCATTGTCTGACAAGAGTAGCAAAACATTATCAATAAATAGTCCTTATTTAGTTTGTACATTTTTGTTAAAAATGTTTCGATGTTGTCCATGTTTAGTGCTGCAACTGTAAACGTACAATAGTTAGTAAGAAATTAAACAAAGTTTTCATGTCCAGTAACATAATAAAAGGCCTTTCAGTAACATATCTAGACGTTCCCAATGCAGTAGGAAAACATGTTCATTCCCCTAACGTTGTGATATATACCAGCATGAGCTTTCATTTTTCTACAAGCATTTTAAAGGCATATCCAAAGGAGGTGTCTCTCCCCCACCCCCCCTCCCACTAAATTAAAGTTGACGATCTCTTCGTGGATGATTTTTGTAAACTGAATCCAACACCTGGCCCCCAGAGCAAGTAAGCTATTATCAGAGGCAAGAACACCCCACTGCTGATGTGCAGCAACCCCATCGCGCCCTGCAGCTCAACCCCCCTCCCAGCCAGTGGTCACTGGATATTGCTGCTATTACTGCCGTTGCTGTCCGTGCCATTAGTCTCTGTGGAGATTGCCTTGTTGATGGAGTTAAGGTTGGCATCGGATGGCACGTCTCTGCGCGGAGGCATTCGCTCATTAATTCGATCTAAGCCTTTGGCCTCTTCGAAGCTAGTGATCTTATGCTGGGGTGAAAATCCTTTGATAGCTAAATAAAGGATTATTAAAAAGTAAAATTAGCAAGGTAAAACTCCCGGCAGCTTTTCCCCCAACTTAGCAATGAGTGCGAAAGTCCTTCTTTGAGAAGGTTGCCACGAGAAGATCTGACAACACGACCGACTCCTTACCGTACTCAGAAAGAGCTGGGGGTCAACCACCACCGTCTCTTGCAACACGCTGTTTTTAAATTTTTTTTTCAACAAGATCAGCTTCCATTATTTTGTCATCCACTGGGGTTTAGCTTAAAATGCTCAGAAGCTGACATGAAACTAATTTGCAATTAGGAACCATGCTTAGGACACAGCCGTGAGCCAGCCAGTTCGCATTTGTTGTCATCACTTACAGACATCGTGCCTCGCCGTACCATCCTCAATCAGGCAAAACTTCCATTTGACTTTCAAAGACCAGGGGAAAAAGCGCTGGCCAGTTACAGATGGTCATAATATGGTGAGGCCCGTTTGCGGGATATACATTAAAGCTATGGGAGATCTGGGGCGACCCTACAACAGGTTGCCTTACGTTCTCGAGGCAGGCGAGCTGCTTGTTGATGGCTCGGGGCAGTTACACTCCCCAACACATCCCTGGACTTCTAGAAAGCAGCTTGAGTCAAACAGTGGTAATGCCGTGCAACACAGACCAGGGATATCATCATTTTGGCACATTTGTACAATTTAACTTTGGAAACGCACTGACAAAGGACCAAAGTCCCGACTGAACCTGAGGACTTTTGATCTGCCCTTCAGCAGTGACGTTGATGAGGCCACACCGACCTCAGGAGGCAGCCACAGGCTGGGGAATGTATTTGTAGAGTGTGATTTATTTTATTTTTTTCTCTCTTTAATTGAAGAGTTGAAGATCTTTAGATTTAAAGCAAAAGAGAAAAAAGCACTGTAGGCAAACAGCAGGTCACAGCTCCGTAGATAATTTGTCATAGCCTTCTGTGTGTTTTTCTCTTATCTGCACCAAATCAATGCACTGCACTTCCAGAACTGGCACTTTTGCTATGCCTCTATCTTAACATGCCATAGAGCAGAAATGGTGTGTTAGTACCAGGAAACTGCAAACTCCCTGGAGAGAAAATGGTAGGGGAGTTTCAAAGACCAAATTCAGTATTGCTTCCCTCCCTTTATCTTCTCTTTACCCCAAAGTACTCCTGCTCTCCTGCCAATATGCAGTCCTGAATCTGGATAAGCTGATAAATTCTGTTAAAAAAAGAAAAAAGCAAACGAACCCCAAACCCCAGAACATCCCTGGTACCAATCTACCACTCCTTGCATTTTGGGGGGAGCGAGAAAAGCGTTTTCATGCTGATATTTTTGCCAACCATTCCTGTGAAAATGGATAGATCCTGTTTGCATCAGGATTTTTAGTTCCTTAGCCAGTTTCACAAACATTACATTGGAACTTTGTGAAGTGCATGGGTTTTAACATGTATTATACTTCAACTCAGAAAAAACGACAACATCGTAACGGTGATTAGTCACGTGAGCAGGGATGGAGCAGTGAAAACACAACGGGCCCTACAGTGAGGTTTTTCAAGGTGTTTGGGGTTTTTTTTTTTGGGTTTTTTTGGGTTCTTTTTTTGTTTTTGTTTTGTTTTTTTCCTTTATCTTCTATCATGACAATGAAGATGTCTAACAAGCACCCAGGGCGATCCCTTAAAGCAACAGTTTAACGGATAGCCGTATTGAAGCTGAAACCCTTGCTGTGCCCTGGAGCTTCCCAGCAGCACAGCCCCGTTGTGCCATCAGGCCCTGAATCAAACTGCAAAGGGACAATTGGGGAAGGACGAAACATGTTCTCCAGCATCAGCTTCGGCTACGTGGACCAGTCGGTATGACTACGGTTACGGTGTCTAACTAGTGAGGATGGCAAAATCAAGAATTAACTGGAAGGGTGCGTATTGCTGGAATGGGGGCACGTTCAATCGATCGTATGCCAGGCAGACACGTTATTGTCTGTAATACTGAGGAAGGTGCTCTGCTGTAGTTGCTGGTCAGACAACGAGTATTAGCAGTTTACATTGAGAGTATACTAAAACACAACACATAATCACAGAAAATCACAGAAAACAGCCAAACTGTCAACGAGAATGCACACTGCAGATTAGAAATTGCCGATAGGAATAGATAATTCCAACATAAATAGCAGCTTACGCACTGCTATTTAGAAAGCAGTTGTATTTTCTCTTACTTGTTTGTTCTGCAATTTTATTCACTGCTTTACAAAAATCAAAAACAAATTCAACGGGCCAAAAGGGCACATCTTACCAAAGGACAGCAATTATCAGATTTTTTTTTTTTTTAAATTAACTAAAAAAAAAAAATACCCACAGAAAATTTGAGAGGGGCAAGAACAAAATACAACTGAAGAATTTTGTTTTAAAGGGGAATTCTGAAAATTCTTCATCCGAAACTTTACAATGCCGAATAAATATTGCGCATCTACATTGCAATACGCGATTACTCAGGTTTTAACCATAGTGGTAAAAATTGCTTAAGGGTTAAATTAGAGGTCTGTCAATAAAGCACTATGGTTTCCAATAGTGAACATTCAGAAATCTTCTGAGGCAGCCAGTCA